ATCTTGGTCGTGATACTCGATCCGGTTAGTTGCCCTGGAATCCTGAGATACTGTGCTTGGCGCAATGCCAGTCGTCAGTTGGCAAAGATATGCGAACGATGGCGAAATACGATGCCCATGGCTATTAGGGTTATTATAGCATCATTCGGTACGACGACGACGCCGCCGCATACTGGTCAGGCATGGATATGAATTGGCTGCAAAGGGAGGACATGTACTGTATACCGTGAGTAACGGGGGACTTACAGTCAGACATGCAGCTAACAGGTGACAGACGCACTATCCCACAATCATGCAATTATCTCCTCCGACTGGATGCTATCCTCAGAAGCATCATTCATATTCCTGATCAAGTCGCATCTTGCCATCTCCGTCCTGCGGCAGATAAATTAATTTAACCCAATGTTATGCATTAGTGCAAACTTGACAGCTCTCCTCCATCCTTTAAAACGGTCCACGGCTATTCTCCAATCTCCGTCCGTCTACTCACGACTACGAACTGACAAAACATAAAATATCCCTACCATTATTTCCCCGAACTGTGCTCTCCAATTCGGATCGATAAGTCTCCGTTCAGTTGCACAACCTTCCAGTCCCTCTTTACCCTATTTGTTCTTCTTGGATTGCGAATCCTGTGTAACGCAACGCAAGCCACCTGGCGCTGGCAGCATCTGCCTGCTGTGAATCGTGGTGTCCCCCTATCCCGTCTGCATCGCATCCGACGCCTCCGGCTCTCCTCAGCGTGGTTCAGCTTCAACTCTCCAGCAGGGCTGCTCTGCTTATTGCCTACGGAGGTCGTCGGACTCTCACTCGATTCTCAGCAGCCATTTCTGCAGTGATAATGCAGGTAGGCGTGCATGCATTCGTAGCTACTGCGGTACATATGCATTATTGGCGTCTTTTCGAGCAAAAAGGCCTAGAATTGCAGCGTTTCGCCAGCACGGGGGGGGGGCAAACATGCCGATCGCTGAGGTCCAAGCATACATATATGAATCTACCTATAATAGAACTGAGCAGCCTGGCGTACTCTGGCTCTGGACTTTAAAGCTCCTTGCTCCCGCTGATTAATCCCAGAGTAGTGCGTGTGGTTACAAGTGCCTGGTTGCTGATGTCTGCCTAGATGGGCTGCATGTGACTCTCCCAACATGGAAGGTGCATTTCTTCCACATTGTTGTCGTCGAAGGTGAGTGAGTCGTTGCTGCCATTTGGTGATCTCACCTGTTGGAATGCTTGTTTCGCTTCGAAGCATTTACTGTAACCAGTATATGCGGGGATATATATCGTCGCCATCTGAAATGCCTAATCGAAACGCTACTCAGCTAGCACGTTGATCAGCCCACCTACTATAATTACGAACTGCTGACATTGGTGCGTACGAGCCGTCGAGTATCAAGGAAATATACGGAGTACAACGACTTAGTGACCTTATCCGCCGATATTCCATACAAGCTTGTCCTGAAAAAGATAACCTCAATGCGGCATATTATGGAACTCGGGCGGGCGATGAAACACACTCACCCTCTTACTACCAATTCCCCAACTCCCCCACCTGGGAGCATCTTCATTGTGAACCTCTCCTGTGTCTGAAAACCCAAATCTAGACCACACCGACCAAGCGTATGTTGTGAGGCTGTTTACGAAAGAGCGGAGACCCTGGTGGCTTTCCACGTGGATAATCGGGGGGATATGTGAAACGATCCGGCCCGCTCAGCGATATGTATACATCTAACTACGTAGTATAGACATGTGATGATGAGGAGGCACGGATTAAACCACGCTTGGAGATCGGACATATATCTTGTTTAGGAGAGATCTGATATATACATACATGATAGATCGACGCAGGAGTGACTCGACGACGGTCTGATTTTAGTCTTTGCAGTGCCCCGAGTCTGGAACGGACAATCATGTTTTAAAAACCATAAGATAAAGTTGATATATTAACAACGGAGGTCTCACTATACTACGTAGATTGCACTAAGATCGACTGGCATGAACCATATCGACCACCGTAGGGTTGAGTCTGAACTGTCTGACTCTGTGACAAAAGGTCTCGGGGTCGGGCACGGCATTGACATGCAAGTTCGTAGCCGGGGGGTCGTGGGGACGACCCCCACGGCCCACGTACTTAAAACAAGCTACATTCAAACAGGGACTGGGGACGAACCTGCGACACTAGGTCCGCGCCGCACGGGAAAGGAAGCTTTGAGAAAACTTGGAAATCACGGACAATTAGATACGATGTCTATACGCTGTTAGGTACCTAGTCTATCTAGTCTACCGGTATCACTAGTAAGTATCAACTGTTCTAGCCATCACGCCACCATCTGCCTAGAGATCCCCCAGTCCCCGCCATATCGACTACCTCCTCGAAGCTGATCTCGACGCGGAACATGCGTCCGTCTGCGGTGCCACTGCCTCCTCCAACGGGACTGATGAGTCCCCAGCTCACGAGCCGTTCCCAGGCTTCGCGGGCCACGTCGCGGCCCCAGACACGACCAGGAGTCACAGACGCTCCGGACACAGAGGCCGACGTTTTGGCCGATGTGAGGAGTCGGACGTACTCCGCGTATGCGGCGGGGAAGGATAGCGCCAGTGGGGCAAGGTCTTGGGTCTGGGTGGTTTCGAGACCCGGGTCGTATAGTGCTGTTAGACGGGTCGCCGCCAACAGGAGGGAGAGGGGAAGGGATGAGGGGCTTGAGGATGCGGTCATGGATGCTGAGAAGGGAAGCGGTGCGGGATCAGGGCAGGAGAGGGGGTTGTCCGAGAATGAGCCGGGGGTGGGGACTTGGGCAGATGGGGTGATAGAGCTGTGATGGAGTTCGGTGATGGCAATCAGTGCGCTTGTGAAGAATTCCTTGACTGACTTCGTTTGGTGATATATCCGGCGTAAGTGCGTTTGGAATGTTGGATCGGTCCACAGTCCCTATCAGTCGCGTCAGCTACTAGTCTTATATTGAAACAGCCTTGCCGTGTTTTACCTGCAGATACGCCCTCCACCCCTCCAGAGCTGCCCTCCAGCTGCCCGACTTGGGGATCGATAGCTCGTCGGCGCTGAGGCCTTCTGGCAACTCCACGGCTTGGTCCTCAAGATCCAGCCCAGCAAGGCAGGCCTCGGAAAATACCTCGAACGTTCTCGGCAGCGGAACATAAACAGATCTGTGACTGAACCGACTTTTGACTCGTTTCTCTAGCATCTCCGTCACGTCCACCTTGGTGGTGACGCCGAGCACTGCCAATGGGGCCTTTCGAGCCTGCGCGATATCAAACAAATTATACAGTAGCGTCTGACGAGGATGTGTGACGAACAAGTCGAATTCATCAAGGACGATGACAATTGACTTCGCTGTCGTCGTCATCCCATCCTGGTTGCCCGAAGAGCCTTGCAGCTCTTCTGGATGTGAGAGAAGCGCAAGAAGTGTAGCCATGGTGTCGGCGTAGCTGGTCACCTTTCCCGCCTCCTCTTCTGTATCAGTCTCGCGACCGAGCTGCCGCCATATTTCACGTAGCGCCAGCCGGTCATCTGTATGTAAGAAGCCATTGAGTCGGACGACATGGAAATCATTCTTGTGCTCTTTAGCCAGAGAGGAGACGATGGTTTCTATAATGGTAGTCTTCCCTGACCCGCGCGACCCAAGAACAAGCATCGAATTGCCCTCTCCAACCGTCACAGTTTGCTCGAGAAGATGATGCACCTTGTGATACTCAGTTTCCAGTCCCTGCAACGGGACAAGCCTCTTCCCGTTCAGTTTCTCAATCAATATCTTTGTCAGCAACTGTACTTCTCTCGCGTAGCCATTGCGAACAAATTGCTGAAACCGCTCAGCATACGCAGGCAAGGGCTCCTCTGGTGGCTCCTCATCCTGCCCATTTGGCTCCTCTCGAATAAGGTCATGTTGCAGCTGCATGCCGACGAGATCATCCAATCCATCCTGATAATTGTCTGGAGACGGCGACTCTCTATCCCTGTCACCGCCATCCTTCCCAGCCCCCGCAAACCGCACAGAAGCCCTCTTCGCTTTCGTCCTTGTACGTCTCTTCGCACGAGGCTCCGGCGATCCAGCCGCCGACTCCTCTTCCTCATAGTTATTATCATCATCCTCGTCCGTCTCCGATATGTGCGGTGACTGTTGACGCGGGCGCACAGTCCCAGACGTTGACCGAGTCGGCGTACCCGCATCCGCAGCTGTATCCTCAGCTATAGGCGCAGATTCGGACGTAGAAGCCGGCGCCGCCTTCGGCGTAGCCCGTGTCTTTCGGACAGACCGCGTGCGCACAGGCGGTTCATCCTCGAACCTCTGCGGTGCTTTTCGCTGTCTTCCGCTCGATCGCAAGCTTGGCCTCGAAGGGGTTGTGTTCTCGGCGTTGTTTGACTCGACATTTTGCGGCGTTGTGTCATCCTGCATCGCGGTGTCTCCGTCCTCGTTTAGGGAGGCATCGGATACCCTCCTCCGCTTTGCGGTGCGCGGGTCCTTCATGGTTGGCGATGGTCGGGGAAGGGAAGGGAGTGAGGGCTGTGCGCCGCGTGGCCCGAAGTTGGACGATATGGCGGGATTGAAATTGGTCAAATTCGTAGTAGAGTAAGTAACTAGGCTTCAATGGCGCGTAGAATCGAAGGCAAGTCCGTTTCGATGAGCGCAGCGCTCGACGGCTGGCTGGTATGAGAAATGTCTGCGGATGTTTTACGGACACAAACTCGGGGTGTATATATATTCTTATTCGTTAGTGTAGGCCGAAATGGTCAGTATATGATGAAATGCACACCTATCACCAAGTTTTATTCCACGATGTGGAGATTTGAAGTTGTTTGAGGATGCTCGGAGCTTGGGTTGGATGGTTCGTTGCTCAATAGTCAGGCCGGAAATTGTATGCCTTAGGCAACACGCGTGACGCGAAGTCAGGTGGTGTTGACCATAGAGATGGATTATGTTCTCGGCGTTATAAATTACTATCTATCAACTGTGCAGCGTTGTCTACTTTTGATTATGCGTAAAAATAAACGGATCTGAGAATGTGAGGGTCTTGCCCCCATTCATATTGGACAGCTAAGCTGACTGTAGGCTATCCCTATCAGTGGTATTGGAAGAGATAAAGAAAGTAATAAAGACAAATCATGAAGCAAAAGGCTGTGCACAAGTATTCGCAGTGGCCATAGTTCTCCTGATCCTAAAGATACCGTAGCCCATTAGATATTTCCGCCGAACGCGCCGAATACGCCGTCCTCAAACCCACCACGAGAATAAAACACGTAAGCCCATGAAGAACGCCGGTCCATTCCAATCGTTTACAAGTCAATAAAAGAAATAAAAGTAATAAGAACAAGAAGAAAAAGCAAATATGTTGTCTGAGGTATCAACAGCCAATCGTTTGTGCAGACCCCCAGAGACATGACAGAGTGGTGATTTAGGAGACGGGAGGGGGGTGTGCAGTCTGCGTTGAGCCAGGAACGTCTTTCATCGCGATGTCCGATGTAGTCGGGTTCCCGAACTGAGCCGTTGAGTCAATCTCCGGATGTGTGTTGTTTGCCATGGTCAAACCATCCCGCCTTTCTGAAGGCTGGGCAGGTGGAGTGGGAGGCGGCATCGCGGTGGTCTGCGCCTGTGTTTTCTCGGTTGTTGGAGGCTTCAACGAGCCCCTTCGACTGAGATAATCACCTAGACTCAGCTTCTTCTTCACAGGACTAGGGGCCACCACTCCCGCTCCAGGTAGAGTGGTCGTGGCGGAATGCTGTGAGGGCGCTTCTAAGGTGGATGGCGACGATACGGCCGAAGACTTTGCGGAGTTTGGGCTGGTGGCCGACGGTAGAGAGGGGGCGGTGGCTGAAGGAAGAGGGACGTGGAGATCCACGCGGGGGCTTGTAGCTTTACGCTCAGGTATGCGAGCGATATGTGCCGCGCTCGAGGGCCAAGGTGACGGTATCGGCAACGGCTTCCCTTGCCCACGCCCATGGGATGGCGAGGTATCCACAGATGTTTGCGACCTTGCCGAGGACGCCCCCGTGGGTGACTCAAGGTCTCGCATTTCCACATCTTCCTTTTCCCCCGAGACACTGGGTGTTGTAGCAGTGGGGGTAGCGACTGCTGGAGGGTTTGATAGCCTTTCATGCAGAGCCTTAGCCGACTGAGAGACAGGCTGTTGCTCACCGGTATTCTCAAGTCGAATCCGGTCACTATGACAACGTTTAAGCAGGCGCTGGGTGAGGGGAATGAAGCTTGGCCGCTTGGAGGAAGGAGGTGAGAGTATCATGCCATTAGCGGTCTCTAGCTCCGTCTGAACAGCGGAGTCGACGTATTGAGACTGAATGTGTGGGTAGCGCATCGAAGGCGTACTGGGGCCAGAAGGTTTCCGCGGGGACCCGTGACCGCCAGCAGATAATGGGGGTGAGTGTGATATGCGTTCAAAGCCGCCCGGCCCGGGTGTTTGAGTCGACTGACCACTAACACGCTTCCTCCGTTTGTGGGATGTCTGTTGGTCTTGTTCCAATTGTTGGAACTTCTTTTCTGCAGCCGCGATCTTGCGCCTTTCGCGAGCAGATAACTCGGAATCCCCAAAGGCAAAGCCTTCAGTGGGCGTTTGCATACTAGGTGTCAGATCGCGGCTACGGGTCTGTCCACGAGTGGAGCCCGATGCAGAACGGCTGTCAGCGTGATCATCTTCCTCGGGATTCTTGATGGTTTCGCTTCCAGCACGACTGTTGTTGGCCGGCGGTGATGCGTTGGATTTGCTTTTCGTTTTCCTTCGCCTATGTGCTTGCTTGATGCCGCCATCAGCGAGTTTGGGATGCCGCCGACGATCCAGATTTGAAAGTAAGCAGTTATGAGGAGGGATACATGCACAGCCACCAAAATTAGCCAGCACATTGCTTATACAAATAGCAGCCATTTCCTGCACACCATCACCAGGCTCTTGTTTGACGAGGTCATTGGTAGGTCCAAACAGCTGTGCATCTAGATACCATGTGGCGGTGATTTCTGAATCGGGCGCAATGTCCTCTTTGGCGACAAAGCAGAAATGATACTCCACGTCATTCGTAATATAGGTCTTCATTGTCACATTCGGTCGGCAAGATCGTCGCGCATAACGGAGAATGCTGCCCTCTTGTCGACTATCAATGTAGATTGGGAGCTGGGGATGGAAGAAGACAAACGGCTCAGGGTGTCGTAATTCCTGCCACCGGTTACTGGGATCAAGGGAATAGTCACGCAGTAGACCGATCTTCCCTGTAATCTCACCAACGATCTCATCTTTATGAACACCATCCTGGGTTTTGAGAAGTTTCCAAGTCGGATGTTTGCCATCGATTTCAGTATTAGAATCTGTTATTGATTCAAGTGATAGTGACGGCCAATGAGATCGGTCCAAGGCGGCACCAGACCTGGTGAAGATTTCCTCTGCAGCGCGACCATTCGCAGCCTGCGCAAGAGATACCGGATCTTTCAACCACGAGGCTAGATCTGCTGCTAGTGTCAAGTTGACAAAGAGATTGCCATCGATGTCGGCATGACCATGGTCCTGGTCATAAAGATGGATGAACTCATTGGAATATAAGGGAATTGAGGGGCCTGACGATTTAGTCGGGCTCATGGAGGCTGCAGTGCGCTTGCGCCCATCAGAGCTGAGAACCGGAATTCCGGACAGCGAGCTGACCGAGTGCGACGCGCGATGACCTGTCTTGGTCTTTTTGGACGGCAGCTGCTCGCGGCTGGTCGACTCTGACCGCTGATGAAAACCATTTACATGATCCCCGTGTTCCCTTACCTTCTTCTTGTGGCTCTTCGTCCCGGATCGTTTGGCTTTTCGGTCACCGCCATCGCTCTGCTCTCTGAGGCGCCTTTGTCGCTCCGTGGCGCGCCGACCATCGAGATGACGGGGCTCACAGTCAACACAGTTATGCACTTCTGGGACAGTCCGACCGTGGTAATAGCACTCGATGTGCTGCCATGTTTCGCAACCCTCGCAGAACACCGTGTTCCCATCGTCATCTTCGAACGCACATATACATTTGATGGTATACGGCTCCTCCTCGTCGGGTGGTGCCGAATCCGAGACAGCGCCGTTGACGATGGGTGAGTTCAGAGGGGCGGTGACCGGGAAAGGCTCCGTGGTTGGATGCGTGATGGCGATTGGGGAGGTCTCTGTCATAATCCGACAGAATACCCCCTGAAACAACTAATGCGAAGCGCGCTGGTGTCTGTACTTGCAAATGAGCGGCGTCTGGGGATCGATTATATCCCTGACCACATATCACAAGTACCACTGAAAAGTCTGCACTCGATGTAGTACCTGTTTTCAAAGGAAGGAAATATGCGATAAAACGATCAAGAAGAGGTTATCACGACCAAATATCCTTCAAGAATTGATGCGATGACAACTGGATAGACCGCCAATCCAGAACAGAGTTTAGAGGGTGGCAGCGCCTCGTTCAACTATGTCAGAATCCAACGCCGTTTCGATTATGAATAAAACAGAGTCGAGCGGTATACCGGTTCGAATAAATCGCGGGTTTAATAGGGGCGTCGTCCGCTGTGGCGTCTGCGACCGTGGGAAAAGAGGAACGTGTCGAGGGTCGAGAACCGAGAAATGCGAGTAGGCGAGCGAGGCATGAATCGCATGGAGGGTAGCGAAGAAAGAAGGCGGCGGCAGCGATGAGAAGTCGGCAAAGAAGACAAAATAATAGATAATATGGTGAATAAGAAAGGATGGTTGAGATAGGAGAAGAGAAGGGAGGTCAAGGGCGAGGGTGGATGAGATGGGAATGTGGGAGGGACACACGAAACAATGGAGGGAGGGACTCGAGGGGAGTAGCTGAGGTGGAGCAATGCTAGACAAGCGACGAAAGGTAATCGGTCGGTCAAGACGCAAAAGAAGCAAGAGATTGAAGAAGAGGAGGCAAAAGACTGAGGAAAGAGGAGGGAGAGTGAGAAGGCAGAGAGGACAGAGGCTAAAGCCACGGATGGGCCATTCAAGCGGCGCGTCCAAGACCAAGGTGAAAAAGGAAAAGCGCGGAATAATTTTTCCCACCCGATCGTGATTCTGGGGGAGGTGCTGTGGTCGATCAGGAGCTTCACGAGACTGCGCCGCTTATTAACTCTGCACCCAGCTATAGTCGCGAGCTATATGGCAGTTATGGTGGATAATAACACGGAAAGAACGGGAAAAGTAAAATCATGATGGGAGGGATGGCAGACACGGAACGCAGCAACGAGGAGGGGGTGTTGAGGCGAGCGAGAATCCTGTTGGAGGAACGAATGCGAGTTCGAAGGTGGCTGTTAGTGCCTTGTTTTCCAGGCCACAAGGCCATGGCTGCTGTTTGCAGGCAGGAATGTCAGTGCCTGAGGCATATAAGAGCTAGTCCAAAGGCGGCATAACGTAGTGCCAACTCCTGTTTTGGCATAGCGCAGAGCAACCGGGGGAAGCGATCGGGAGCCTAATCCACGGAAATGGCAGGCCGATCACGATCAGAAGAGATGGGATGGGTATGTCAGTAAAAGTAAAAGAAGATAAAGCTCTCCTACTGTTTTGTAAGTAAGGGGATAAAGAGGTAATATATTGACAGCAACCCGTGCGTGTCTTCGGCTGCCTTGGAAAGCGAGCACCGCCCCTCAGGTACAGCAAAACGATCCACTGGATGCCCCGAAAATGGGGAGCGGCTGGGAGACTGGAATGTGAGATGTGAACACATTTCAGTATAGTTGCAAGTAAGCATAACAATAAAGAGAAGCAAGGATGAAATCGCGCAAATAAACATTCCAGTGCACGGTGATGATGGATCCTGAACCAGGATGCGAGTGGGAGAAGGCATCAGACAAGTAGGTGGAAGCCAGGAGCCCGTCAGGTATATTGGGCTTCGTAATGATAATACCTTGATAGGCCTAACCGTGCGTGTAAAATAGAGTCAGCGGACCAGGAGCATCGTCCCGGAGAGTAAACATGACCGAGAAGGAATAGGCATCTTCAGAAGGCCGTGAATTGATGGAGAACTTGGGCTGGTGATAAGTGCAAGTGAGTGGGATAGTTTACGGTGGAAGGGAAAGGGTATAAAAGGAACAGGAAAAGTGAAAAGGGTGCAAGCAAAGGCATGACGGGCGACCTAAGTCGGCGGTAATAAGCAAGTCATCTGAGCCGAAAAAGGATTGGGGAAGTAACATGATCTCGTTCGTGAGCGGTGCGCAAGAAGCGAGAAACACAGAGGGGCTCGAGCAAGTGGCAACGGGCAACGTTGAGGCCCGGGAATCGTTGACAGTTGCAGGTAGGTGGTTGGTTATTATGGCTCAGTCGAGCTCAATAAAAGAACCAGAGGGTGAGAGGCAGAGGAAGGCTGACTTGATAGCACCACATGCGGGTAGGCGAAGAATGTGGACTGAGCGGGACACCCGAACCCTGATATCGGTGCATCCAATATTTTAGCTTTGGGGTGTTTTTGGCGAGGATTTATCCTCCTTTTTAGGGGGTGGGAATTCCGTGCGTGGCGAATTTAACAGGGCGGGGGAGAAACTAGCGGAGGATGCAGTGCGTTCCTGACGGGGTATGGACTGGCTGGCATTTGCCTTAGGCAACCCCATGCATCACCCGATCTTCCTACCTAGCGACAGATACTAGTGCATCTACGTTGGATTTCTTTTCTTTTCTTTTCTTTTCTTTTCTTTTTAAAAAAAGTCCAGTACACTTCAAAAGACCAAGGAATAATAAGCCATAAAATAGGAAGCAATATATTTGTCTACCGCCATGCCCTTGAATCCGTTGGTGGATAATAACAATGGGTGTTGGAGTACAATGGCCCGAACAAACGGTGCTTGAACAGCAATCAATGAAGATATAAGCTAAGGTCAACTTGCTGGAGGAATAATCCCAGGTAGGGCTGTGTAACCTCAAGGAATTGCACGCTGTGATGTAGGCGTAGGTGCAGTTGTTCCCTCGTCCTCACGCCCCCTTGTCCGCATTTCGATGGCTGCACCCCGAGGTTGATCTCCATCTAATCCACCTCGAAATTCGACTGGAGGTGTGTCTAACTCGGCAGACTTCTTTCGAATTGCGGCTACGAGCCGATGGCCACCGTACATGAGGCCAAACAGACCGACGGCAATGAAGCTAGGGATCGCGTTCCGGGGATTGAACTGGCTGCGGGGGGCGACAGCAATTTGCACGAGATTGAGCAGAATCAATATAACGCTAGTAACCAAAGCAAACCATGTTCCAAAGGGCTGGACGAAGGATTGATGCAAAGGCAAGATTGCTGCTTTGCGGACCTCTCGTCGGAATTGGATATAAGAGAAGCACGAACATATCCAGGAAAGATAAGCCGACGTAGTGATGAAAAACATGAGGTAGTTGTACGCAGCGGAACTCGAAGTGACCATGCACAAATACGCCAGCCATGTGAACCCCGACGTGATGCCCACCGACATGTAAGGAACATTCCATCGATTCCGAAACATAAACATTGCTGGGGCATGGCCGGTCTCTGCCATCGAACACAGCATGCGCGAAGATAGATGGAGAAAAGAGCGTCCGGACGCTACGGATGATAGGAAAATCAAACCTGTCGCAACCGCTGGTAGAAAATGGATTCCCGAGTCATTGATACCGACGACGTAAGGAGAGAGTCCAGCACCAGTACCGCTATTTGTGAGCGACTTATTATCATGAGAACTCATCACGGTAGTGGCCAACGCACTTATTGTGTAGAGTACGAACATAACAAGATTGCTGTTTCTGGTGGATTTGAAGATGCTATGTCCAGGCTCTGAATCACGTTGTTCGGCCCTTTGCACGGTCAGCTCCGGGACGAAGGCGAAAGCCACCGTACTGCAGAGGATACAATATAGTATACCAAGGAAGCGACCTAGGTCGCCTCTAAGCAGAAATTCATTGAAGGGGCCGGGCTGGATCCAATATTCAAATCCTCCCACTTTGGCATCGGGTTGAATGGCGCGAATCGCGAGGTAAAACGAGACAATGATGAGCCCGATCGTCGTGACGAATTTGATACCTGTAAAGAAGGCTTGCGATCTTCTAAAGATTTTGTCGGGCAGCATATTGAAGAAGAGTATCACAGCGATGACGGCACCCATGCGTAACGCAATACTGGAATCAGGTTCCCACAGTGCAAGGTTGACCATCGCCGTTGTGACTTCAAAGGGAACTAACACCGCCAGGGCAATCCATCGAAGATAGGATATAGAGAATCCCATGTGAGTTGAAGTGTAATGATAGGCGTGTGTGATCATTGCCCCATTGCGAGTGAGGGAGTGAGTTGAGATCTCGGCGATCGCAGTTGTCACACAATATACCAATGTCGATATGAATACAAAAGAGAAGATGAGCGATGCGGGACCGCCAACAGCAAGTGCTTGGCCTATCCCAACGAACACACCTGTCCCAAGTGTAGGTCCGACCGTCATGGTTTCCAATAAAAATAAGGATGAAGAATAGGCTGATAGGTCATGAACACATGGAAAGCTAGTGAGGAGTAGGTAGGGTCTTCACGATGAAGGGAGATGTAGAGGAGGCGTTTGGGCTGGGTAAGGAGCATCTCCTGGGCCTGCGGCCTCAGCTTGCTTGGTCCTTGCCTTTCGGGGGTTCGTTTCCATCGGGTGCAGGAGCTGAGGGGTGGGGGATCTTGCACTGACTAGCGATGCTGCTCGTCGAGGATAGGAAGGAACGATGGCTAGCTGGGACCCAAGATAAGTACTCGAGAACGAGGCAAAGTAAGCTATGCGGTAGACAGAAAGGTGTAAATACCAAACAAAAGCCAGATATAATGGGTATCACGTTCTATAAAACAAAAATCGAAAGGTAAGATGGTCCGCAGGTTAGGCACCTGGCCCCATTAGACAATATAGTCGCCAATTGCCCAGATCCAATCGCCTGTAGCTTCACCAAAGATAAAGCCTGGAGCTCTGGTGTATGAGCTGAGGCAAAGGTGGGAATGTATTCATTTGTTTTCCTGGTCAGTCATTTCTGTCTCTGCATATTCGAGCCATTCCCCAGATAAAGCCTTCTTCCAGAACCTAACAACACCATCATCACCTGAAGAAATGAGGCAGTCACCTACACGATGGTTAGAGTGAGCACAAGAATAAATACGGAAGTATGAAAAAATCGGACAACTAACCAGCGTAGGAAAACCCGACCTGCCATACGTCGAGATGCTTGCTGTCGATGCATGCGACTTCCTTGAAAGAATGTTTGAATGGGGAGTCACCTGTTGCGGGTCTGTTGTTTATAGACATAGGTGCACGGCTTGCAAGAGCAGAGCCTATTCCTGACTGTGCTGTTGTACGTGAAGACTGAGATGTTGTTGACGATTGTGTATGGTGTCGGTCGGAGTCTCGGGAACTGCTGGAGGAAAGAGAGGTATAGACCTCGAAAACTCGAACAAAGCCGTCCTTACACCCGCTGGCAATGAGATCATAACCCCGGACTGAGCCATTGGCCCAGGATATGTCTCTAACCAAGCCCCCATGCCCTGTTAATTCTATTGCATGGTAGAAGCGACGGTTTGCATCAGTGCGGAATATTTTCACGCCGTCCATAGCTGCAACGACAAGGGACAGGCTTTTGCGATCCCAGGAGGGCAGAATGGAGTGAGTGATGTCTGTAGGGTCGTGGTGAAACTGCACTTTGAAGCTCGTCTCCTCTCCCCTTTGGGGTGCGGTGCAAACCCGGAATTCGTCGACGGTTTGCCAGTCCGCAAGCGAGTCTGGACTGACGGGCTCCATGACCCTCAAGAAGCCATCGCGTGTTATTACAGCAAGCCAGGTTTCCAGGTCAATGTTGCGGAAGTCAACTGAGACATATGGATGTCGCTGTGGAGCCATCAGACGGAAGATAGTCCTGAAACGCCGACCGGAGTTTGGAGGCTGAGTGACATCTTCTTGCCATATTTTTAATTTCATATCCTCACCCACGCTGCCAATATGCTGGCCAGTAAAAGGCCCATTCCAGGTTGCCTACAGAGGTTAGAAAGCCAAAACTGACAAGGGGATGATAGCAGGCACGGCTTACATCACGAATCTCCGCATCATGTGCTCGCCAGGTGTCAGTCAACTGCCATTCACCGTCCTTTTGGTCCCAGACCTTCATGCGGTGGTCTGATGAAGCTGTAACTATGCGATTGCCATAGAAGTTGAACTTGGTCACGGTCACCAAATCGCGGTGACCAGAATCAAAATCGGAAAACCCGGCAGACATATCTGGCCGACTCAGAGTCCCAATCGGATGATCTGGACCCTGCAAGACATACAACCTGGACGCGTACTACGAAGTCGTGACAGACCGGATCTGGATTGGATGTCCGCGTGGATTATGTGAGCGAGTTCGTGGCACGGCTGACCGCCCCACAACGCTGCTGGGTGTTGGCGCGGCAGAATGAGAGGCCGCGGCGTATATTTCGCGTATTTTTCGTATACTCTTTTCCGTTGTTGATTTGTCTTAAGGCCAGATTGCAGCGACGAAATCTCAACCACGCTCCCTGGGTCCGCGAGGCAGCTGAAGCTGGGATGCTGAATTTAATTGCCATGCAACAATGACTCTCGCAACACCAAACTCGCTTTCCCACCGGGAGACCTGGAGTCTCTTGGTCCTAGCCGGTGCCTGCCTTGGCGTCCTGGTCAATACCTTCGAGGGAGAGGGTGCGCCATTGGTACCAGCCATCGCATTCAGCGGAATAGCATTTTCTGTGACCTTTAGTATGATAAGATGGCTCGGGCCTGTCTTTGTTCGAGCAGGTTTGAGCGGGAAGGATATGGCCAAACCAACTCGGCCAGTCATGTATGTTTTCCCTGCCATTGGCGCTGTCGCATTCAAGCATTCGTAGCACTGTGCGGGCTCATACTGATTTGACCCGGTGTAGACCTGAAACCATGGGCGCTGTTTGCGCGGTGGTTTACCTTTTGGTTCTCATATTTTTCATTCCGTTCGCCTTCTATAAGGACATCGTTGCGGCCACATCGGGTGGCGGCAATCGTGACATTGTACTTGAGGTTCACCATGTAGAGACAGGCCGGACACTGCACAGATTTCCTCATGACAGGGTTAGTATCCTTGGAATCTTACCTGTTTACCCTCGGTCCAGTATTGGTATGATTTGCTGACAAAAGCCCCGTTAGCTTGCTTCATATCTTTCTGGTCTCCTATCGCTCCAATGTATCGTTATTCTTGGACTTGGTGATGATCTTCTCGACATTCGATGGAGGCACAAAGTCCTCATTCCGGCTTTTGGTGCCATTCCAATGCTTATGGTCTACTTTGTAGACTTTGGGGTCACCCATGTTGTTGTCCCAGTGCCTCTGCGGCCATATCTTGGGCCGTTCCTCGATCTCGGTTTCTTGTATTACGTCTACATGGGTGCAGTTGCGATATTCTGCCCAAATTCGATCAATATGCTGGCGGGGATCAACGGCGTTGAGGTTGCCCAGTCGCTTGTGATTGCGCTCTTACTGATGCTTAACGACGCGCTGTACTTGATTACACCGTTCCGACACCCCGCTACCGACTCTCACCTTTTCTCCCTCTACTTTTTACTCCCGTTTGTTGGAGTTTCATTGGCACTCTTATGGCACAATTGGTACCCTTCAAAGGTGTTCGTGGGAGACACATACTGCTACTTTGCAGGGATGGTCTTTGTTGTCGTCGGGATACTAGGTCATTTCAGCAAAACTTTGTTGCTCTTATTCGTCCCACAGATTTTCAACTTCGTTTACTCGTGCCCACAGGTATTTCACTTGATTCCTTGCCCTCGGCATAGACTCCCGAGGTTCAATGCGAAGAGCGGGCTTCTGGATGCCTCAGTGACTGAATGGGAGGCACCTCCCTCAAAGTTGATTGCAACTGCTTTGGAATTGCTGTACCGACTTCGCCTCGCGCGAATAAGGAAGAACGATGACGGTCAGATTATCGAATCGAGCAATCTGACCATTCTGAACCTGTGGCTGATATGGATGGGCCCCATGAGGGAAGACCGACTAGCATTAAGCATGGTGGTGGTTCAGATCGTATGTGGGCTTTTGGGGCTGTTTGTGCGTCATTGCCTGGCATTGTTGGTGTTTCCATCAGATAACAGGACGTCCGGCTTTATTTTATAGATTGTTCTGCATGTTTTACATAGTGCCATCAGTATTATACGGGTACTACTAACTATAGACCAGCGATGACATTCTATCATTGCCATTTTTCAACTATTGATTATTCCACCATGCTCTTCGATAAGCTATTAGGCTATATAGTAGGCCAAGCTGCCGCTGCTTAAGGCCGACTGCTGACTCCGGATCGGGGTTTCCGCAGCCGCCGCTAAGTCCGCCGCCCACTGAAGCTTACCAACGAACCGTCAGCGCTCAATCCCGAACAGTTATATTTTCGGCACCTAAGGGTTGTGGCGTGGTGGCACAACCAGCTTGGTAATAACTATGGTCACCGAGATCACCGAGATGACCGGAAATGGTCAGCGGGCACCCAATGATGTAAACCTGGGGTACCATCGCCAACTGCGTATAAATACCCACGACTGCGCCTACGAGCAACGAGAAGGAAACTCTCCTCCTATCATCGAAACTCCTATTTCAACAATCTCCTGAACCATTGATATCATGTCTGACTTCTTGAAACCGGCCCCCGAGCCTCGAACCGAACTCGGCCGCTACCGAGTGCTCTCCTCAACGGCCGGGATTCGCGTGTCACCTCTCCAGCTCGGTGCCATGTCCATTGGAGATGCATGGTCCGGTATGATGGGGTCAATGGACAAAGAGTCGTCCTTCAAGCTTTTGGACGCCTTTGCGGAAGCTGGTGGTAACTTTATCGACACTGCCAATAACTACCAAAGCGAACAATCGGAAACCTGGCTGGGCGAATGGATGGCATCCCGGAACAACCGCGACAGGATGGTGATTGCTACGAAGTTCACAACAGACTATAAGTCCTATGAACTGGGCAAGGGCAATGCCCCGAACTGCTGCGGCAACCATAAGCGCTCGCTCAAAATGAGTCTGCGGGATTCCCTCCAGAAACTTCAGACTGACTGGATCGATATTCTCTATGTCCATTGGTGGGACTATACAACCTCTATCGAGGAACTTATGGACAGCCTCCACACCGTGGTTGAACAGGGAAAGGTACTATACCTGGGTATCTCCGACACCCCAGCTTGGGTGGTGAGCGCGGCGAACACCTATGCTCGTGCACACGGGAAGACCCCCTTTAGCGTTTATCAAGGCCGTTGGAACGTGATGCTCCGCGACTTTGAAACAGATATCATCCCCATGGCCCTGCATTTCGGCATGGCCCTTGCACCTTGGGACGTGCTAGGAAGTGGCAAGTTCCAGACTGCAAAGGCCCTGGAGGAACGCCGGAAGAAGGGCGAAGGACTGCGTTCTATGCTGGGCGGCGGCGAGCAATCGCCGGAGGA